ACAATTAAATAATCTTCTGATCTGACGTCTGGCTCATGATGATCGATGTACTGTAATTTAGTTTAATTAAGAAAAGTTTCAGTTGTCTAAAAAAGGCATCTGGTATAAACTTATGGCGTCCTTACAGAACAGCAGGTATGAGTCATAGCGTCTAGCTCAGGGCGCTTTTGTACAGATTAAATGAGCTTGGTTGGTTGGATGATTGATGAGATAGGGACACCTTGAAGGTCAGTGTGTAGTCTGACATGTTATCGTAGTCTGGTAGGTCTAGATCTGCTGTAAACAGATGTATAACAGATCTGTATATAGAGAATTAAATCCATACCACCCCGCCAATAGTGTCCAGCAGTCTTCCCAAACCAATCTATTGCTTAAGAGTCATGGAGTCATTACACCTGTAATATGTAACACAAAGTTAAGAACACTTGGGGTAAATGTACCATTTCTTCACTGCGCTTTATATTATCATTAAAATGTTCCCAGCAGTATAGCGTTATGTTGCATGGTTTGTTTAGATTACTGAACTTACACAAATCCTGCCGGTACGTCCGTGCTGGTCTTATCTATCAGGAGTCAGCCCCTTTACAAGGTTAACATTGCCTTTTTCTGACATTACAGTCCAACATGTCTGTAGAGAGCACTGAAAAGGCTTTAGCAATTTGGCCACTAAAGGCAGGTGGTCTTTATATACAGAGAAAGGAACCTAACACTAGCCTGAAGCGGGAAAGGCTAAAGTTTCCTTCAATTTATTCTTTAATAACATATGAAATCTACATATGACATATTGACATATGAAATCTACATATGAAATCTACATACATGTTAAAGTAGATATCCTAGTTTGCAAACATATGAAAGTTTCAACATGTTTTTTTTTAATCTGAAGTTGTTGAGCTGTTACAGAAATATTTACCAGAAAAATCCCCCCATACAGCATTACATATACCGCAATAAAAGCAATAAATCATGTAAAATAGGATGAAATGAATGAAAGAAAAAATATATTTTCCGTTGACAAGGAATAACCTCTTCTTCCGCCACAACGACGCCATGTTAGAAATGTCTTGGCTCTTCTCTACTGCCACAATATTGGCACATTTTTACGATAAAGTCCTGATTAATATCTAAAAAAAACGGGAACCCTATTTGCCTATATGGACTATAGGGTACCGACTGAGTAACGGGTTCCTCACTGGCCGCCCAGTACGGAACTCGCGGGGAAAATAGCGTCGGCACTTCGGGCCCTGTGCGGAAGGAAACTCGAATTCTAGAGCTGAGTCTTGACCCGGCACTCGTTGTTCAGTGCTAAATTCCAATCGGCACTCGCTTTCCAGTACTCGGAGGCCGTTCACCACCGGATAGCAAGTGCCGAAGTACCTAAGTAATGGGTTCCTCACTGGATCGTTCCGATGCTCGATGACTCTTGACGCTGGAAGCTTAGTTCGCGAACCATTTCGGCCTTTTGCTTCTGGTGCTTACGTTAGCCGTGCGGCGTACGGTACAGTATCGTAGGCCACGTCTATGTCTGTGAAAATGTGAGGAAAGAGGCCGTGCAGTCCAGACCTGCCGATCACATTGTTGTCCCGCTTACAACTTGCTTCCCGGGCGTTATGATAAGTGTTCGGAGTTCAAAGACAACATCTCGATACCCTTTTTAAAGGCAAGGTTTGGGTTGCCGATTCTGAGTTTCCAATGCTGAAGCCGCCAACACTGGACACCAAGTATTGACTTCGGCACTAGATCTAGAACGGAAGCCGCCTAACCTCTGTACACCGAGTGCCGAGAAAGAAAACCGTTACTTCGGTACTTTTGCCTATCTGGAGGCTAAGAAGCATTATCTTCTGATTTTAGTGGCTTTCTGTGTACAAAGAAAAGCTGCTGTGCTCGACGAAAAAGTATGATATGCCGGGATGGTCAGTTGGGATTTTTTTTAAATGGCACTTCAAAATTGTGTTTTCTTTTCACAATGCGAACGCTACCAAAATTTAAAAAAAGACTTTTACATCATGCCTATATTGATTATTGCCCGGTACTCGTTGGATTTTCATGGAAGCCGTGGTAGACATTTAGCAGATTTAAGATGTTTACTTTGTGGTTTAAGACGGTATTGTCTGCTTAAGTTATTCTTATGCCCAATCACTGGTCAGGACACAGATTTGGTGCCGTCAATGTGCCAAGATCCGAACATCCGCCAGTACTAAGAACCATAAGATTTGTCAGAAAACAAAAGCATGTAGTTGCAGCTACAGGTGTGTTTACTACTAACCGGTAACACTAGTACTAGGAATAGTGGACGTTACACCACTATAGGCCGGACATGCTAAGACAGTACAACAGGATACCAGGGATATTCCTACATGTAGCTTACTCGTGCCCAATTTTTCTTCGCTTGTCAAAAAGCTAGCTAGATGGTCACCATTACCCTAAATTGACGTTCTTTACAGCTAGCTTGCATTACTTATACATGGATATCACCACGGACCGACGTTTATTGATTAATGGTCATACACCAAAAGGCAGTCAACACGGTAAATGTGGAGGAGTGGCTTCGTACATTGCCGGTAACATGTCAGTCTAACACGGCCACACGGCCACGGAGTCGTACCAATAGGCGAAATAGGATTCTGAAGACGGTTTTGTTTCTTATCCTTGACATTGAATATCAAACAGTAAAGCAGGATCCGCCGGCATGATTCAGTCTGTGACTGTCTGACAAAAGGAACTATCTACTGACTTATCTCCCTACATTGTACATTGTCGTTCTAAAATATATACGGTAACAAACTATACAGTATTCAGGGAAGTGTGTGTGTCTCCCTCACCCCCATTTGGTTTAAGAAATATATAAGAAAACGATTCTCTACTGTTATAGGATATATCATGTTTCTGAGTATGAAAAGTGTAAACCATTTTATAAAAAGGTATTAGATTGTAACTTTACTTTCCGTTCATAGCTAAAAGTTTAGTCGCATTGATGACGAGGAAATATTCCAAAAATGGCATTAAGAAATCGGCATATCTTTATTTTTCTTCAATAGACAGTAAAGAGGAGACTAAGATTTTCTTCATGAATACTGTGCTGTATCTTTGACATCTGATGTCCGCAAGGTCAGAAAGAACAATGTTTTCTGTGTATGTTTACAGACGTCACTAGGGTGCACGTCGCTAGAGTAGTACTAGTATTCCGTTAAGACGTAATAAAGCTGCAAAACATAAGACAAATGTTAATACATTGATATTTTTAATACCTTAAATTTAACCTGTAACAAAAAATTAAGCTTTTTACAGAGCTATTGAAAGAGCTGAATGGTATGGAAAATTGCAAACTGTTTAATAGTCAATAGTTATGTGGTAACAGAACATAACCTTTTACTGATTTTTTCCACTATCTCCTTCAGTCAACATGGATGGATATCGTCTTCAAATCAGGGCAACGTTTTATCTGGACCATGTGATGAATACATATGTAGATTTGGTGCAACCAGCTACTGTCCATAAACAATGTTTTTGCCATATATAAGCTCAAAGCTACCGTCCATAAATATTTTTTTCCATATATTGGCTCAATGGAAAAAAAAGGAATGTGACCTGTAGACTTTTTTTGTGAATTATATATTCACACAAAAACATAATGACAATGTTGTATTCAAAAGGGGGAGCAACGATTGTTCAAGGTAACTGTACACTAAAGATGTATCACTTCATTTACATGATTCAGTAATCTAAGTCACTCACAGCTCACTATACATAACTTAAGTGTATTTTAGCATTTCATAGTAGCATATATAGTAGATCATAAATCTAGAGAGAGTCTTATTCTTTA